TCAAAAGAGCTCTTACCAAGCGATTCTCCAGACTGGAAAGAAGGCCTCATAGTGCAGCTGAATTGTTTGAGGCAGCAAAGGAAGAGTGGGATTTAATTCTCCAAGAGAAGTTGGATGGATGGATGGATAGGATGCCTGAGAGAATGCAAGCTGTACTGGATGCAAATGGAGGCTATACAAAATGGTAATAATGTTTTTTTATTGTCTACTAGCAATACTATCATGTTTTCTTTAATTGAATTCTTTAATAGTGGTTCCCCTCCTATTTCGCTGTCGCTCATAGTCGGGAAAAGCAAGTGTGACGCTCAAGCAAGTGTGACACCCCAGACTTGTTTTTTTTTTTCCCAGTAGAAAGTCCCCTAACCCACCCGCCAACACTGACCTCCCGTAACAACAATCATCCCAAGTAGAGAGATCTGTACCAGCAATACCAATCACCCTTGAACAACAGTAATCGTCTCTGACTCTGACGGCCAGCTATAGACCAAAACCTTGATTACCGCTGAAGCCAGTCGCTGCAAGTGCGAAAGATGTAATTGATCCTCAATTACTTGCCCTAGGTGGTAGGGCTGGTGAGTTTGAAATTTTTACTACAAGGCAATAATTGGAACAGGCTAGCATAGAAAATACGGATACTGGGAATGATAGTGAGAATTCTGAAAGTGCATCTGATTCAGATTCTTGTGTATCAGGTGATTCTATCACAAGAAATGCCAACTTTGTAGCTTTTAACTGAGACTTTGTAGCCTACAGGACAATAGAGGTATATTACTAAAAGCAAGTATTTTCTAAGCTTATCTAGTTAAAAATAAAAAAGGTCCAGCATGTAACACTTGCATGAGCATTATTAAATAGTAGTAGAACTAGCTACTATGACTTGGGAGTGATTGTTGTTACGGGAGGTCAGCATTGCTGGGTGGGTTAGGGGACTTTCTACTGGAAAAAAAAAAAGTCTGGGGCGTCACACTTGCTTGAGCGTCACACTTGCTTTTCCCGACTATGAGCGACAGCGAAATAGGAGGGGAACCGACTATTACATTTTTTTTGAAATTTTTATGGTTGCGGGTTGTGGTTGTGCGGTTGCCATGCGAGGGTACGAAAACTTTCCGGACACGACTGTACATATTGGCTAGTTGTGGATATATCCGAGTAAATTAGTAGTAGAAGCTACAGGAAGGTGGGAAGGGTAAATCTGTCACTCCTATTCACATCAGCATTGGACTTCATTCCCATACTCAAGCTATTATACAACCCAAATCCACAAATCGCACAGGTAGTGTTGCTTCAAGGATGAATAATTTAGGGTTTGGTTAGTTGTTGTCATTGGTGAGTTGTTCATGGTGTGGAAGAGTGACGAACTCACCGATTTCAATAATTACCTGGGTAACCACAGCGTTTTATTCACACAAGCTTTGAGCGCCACAAGCACCATTTGAGGCTAGCAGTGTATCACCGGTTATGCAGGCAAGTCCCGTGCTGTAGGGTGACATCACCTCCTAATGATGAGACTTCAATTGAATGCATCATAGGGAATCCAATGCAAACGGTAACATTCCTACTACGAGACTGGCTGCAGAAGACTCCTATATTACCGGTCGCGGGGCCCCCTACCCAATGCATTCGATATCAGATTTCAGCGCAGAAGGTCACAAATAGACAGCCTTGTTCCAACTGCTCCGCAATTCCTCCAATTCGATCGCTTTCTACCAGCACAAGGATAGAGGGGAAGTTACCCCTACTCTAGGGTATTCTCAAGACGTGCCAGGTCAAGGGCGAAATGAAGGAGCTGTTTGGTTGACAGAAATATCAGCGCGGAAGTGTGTAGCTCACAGTACCGGAGGAGAAAGGTGAGTGAAGGGCCACGCTTGGACTTGAGTTGCCGGTGTGTTTGGATATGAATTATTGCCTGCTTTGGGGAACATGACAAGGAGAATGGGTTTTTAGTGGATGATGGATTGCTTGTGTGAGGAAGGCTAGGGCCGGTAACACCATACTTTGACCATGGTTCACCAAACTCCCTTCTGTAAAACCCTTTTTCCGATCGCCTCTCAAAACCCCCCCACCCCCACCCCCTGGGCGAATTGGCAGGAATTGCGCAGGTGTCGATTAACTCTCGTGCCTCTGAGCGGGGGGGCATACGGTATTGCCAACTGCGGGGTTTTCTAAATTGATAAGAACAAGGCTGAGGCTCAAACGGCTGTTTTATACAAGTTCGGTACGAGGTTTTGCGTTTTCTCGTGATGTGTGCTACGATGTCACAAATAGTTGCGGCATCGGAGAGTGCTCAATGGCTAGGAGAAATTGCTTTCTCCTCCAGATATAGCAGATCCCTAGCCTACGAAGCAATAAAGGATACGGTATTCGCGCCATACTTGGGACCGGGTCCGATGCATAGACATGATCGTGTTCCCGGATCGGATATGGAATCCTACTTCGCTGCCGTACATTAACTTATGTGAACAATTGAGCCTTTCTAAGAGCACAGCCAACACTTTCTCCCCAAAATATATTTTCTCCTCACATATCGTAGTTCTTAGTAGCACATTGTTTCCATAGGCGCACGCAGCCCGGGTGCGATTGGGCTAGTTGGGTTAGAATAGCCAGGCGGAGAAGGAGAGAAAGCAAGAGAAAGGCTGCGATATTCCATGTCGAGTATTAGCATTCTTGCATGTTGGTGGGGCTCTTTGTTTCTTCCTGGCATGGGAACGGTTGGACTGGATAATCACGAAACTGCGAGGTTGTAAAAGTATATAACCCCGCCCGTTCCTCCACCTCCAGAGAATCCCCAACGACTTCCTCAACCGCCCATAGCCGGCCAGCAGTGCTTTGATAGCACTCACGCCGGCGCGACGGTGCGTTTCAACACCACTTCAAGAATGTCTCAACAACACTTCGACCTAGCAGATGTCGCTACACATGGCAATTACCCCCGGGTGGTGCCACGGAAAAAAGGTTCCAGTAATCGAAATAATAATAGCCGGTGGATGGTAAAATCCTGGCCTGGCTGTCTCCATCCGGAGGTACAGCTCCTAAGTTTTGTGTGTTACACCAGTTGCTCACACAATGCCCACTGCGAGTGTAACATACTGTACAAAACTTAGGCGCTGTACCTCCGTAGAGTCGAGATAAAGGACTCTGGGAGAAGAATTTTCGCAAACCCCTGTGTTATTCTGCTATGGGGATCCAGGGGTTAGGAAGTGAGTTAAAAGGAGGACTCTTCAGGAGATAGATGAAAAAAAAAAAAAAGTCATGGCTAATTATTCTTTCGTTTATATAGGACTCAGGAAAATCGACGTTGCCTGCTTGTACTGCTACTCGACTCTTCAGGCATCGCCTGTTTTTACTTTGACTTACTCGTAGAAAGAGCAATCTACGACGAAGCAGAGATAGGGAGTCATCTTGAAGCAGATAGTTTACTCATCATAACGACATTCCCGAAGAAATAAACCGGGGTTCTCCCTTAAAGGAGTGTCCCGCTTCTTTCTTTAGCGTATGTTCTCAGTTCCCCCCGCTTATTCGTTACAGGCATTTACACACATTAGGGCGGTTTGAAACTGGGAAGGAGGCCTCCCGGGCGGAACTTTATCCTGCATCGATGCTCTGGATGAATCCGCTGTGAGGCTCCCTCTGGTCAGCGTCAAAGGATGATTGACCTATTTCCTTACCGGAAGGCCACATCCGGACCGACCGTATCGATTCGCTCTAACTAAAATTATAAAGCCTAGCAAGGGCGATATCAGACGATGATCTGAGGGCGGATATTATGAAGAGCACGGCCCCGCGAAAGCGAGCTTGTAAGCCGCCGCAGTGTGCCAATTCATATCCGGGATACCAGCTGACATTTTTGTAGATTTCTACTTGTTTCCTTGAGCGCCGGAGACTTTTGGGGGGGACATTTATCCTGCTCGAATGCGGTGCAGAACGCAGGGCGGCCTGGCCGGGAAGGACGATTGAGGTGATCTCGTGGCGAGTGATACTACTGCCAAGGCGTCACTTCAATCTCCCCCGGACCATAGTTACCGCGGGCGAGCTGTTGGGCGGTTTTTGCGACTGGCTAGGCCAGTGCAATGTCGCGAGGAGACGGAGTATTCATGTATTTAAATACAAGAAAACTCTGAGCGAAACATGACTACCACTGCTTTGAGTCTTGCTCTGTGATATCTCCGCATCGTGACCTATCATCTTTGTGCATGTAATAGGGGAAGAAGAAATCCAAAACTATCATACCATCCAACCCACCATCACATACAATCACTCGAAAAAATACCCCTACCCACAGCCTCAAACCACCAGTGGACCGCCACCCCTCCAATAGTCACTCGGGCTGGCTTCCCGAGCGGGCTATCTCCCCGGCTACCTATCTCATAAAACAACTGCTGTGCCTGTGCCCTGGAAACAACCGCCTCCCCCGTCGGGCTAGATGATCGGTAGGTATCATCGGTCTAAAGGTTGTTTATTGACTCTTGAAGTTGCGAGCTTGGGAACTATTGTGGCTGTAAAGAGGGGGGTGATTGGGCTCAGATTCCCGAGTGTGGTGAAACTTTTAAAAAGTGTCGAGTACGATACTCGTATGTGGTGTGGGATTTTACCTTTTTGCGGGAGTTCAGAATGATCTGGCTACGGCTTTGGCTTAACCCGACCACCAATAGAGAGACACATCTACAATACACCAAACATCATGTCTCACATGAGAAATAAGACAGAATAGGAAGATTCATAGTGGAATTGGGATTTAGGAACTGCACAAGGAATGATGTGTAATGCGATACAAAATCCTCTGCGCGGGGTCTTAGCGATAATATTTTTACCCAAACCAATACCAATCCCTCCATGGCCATCTCCGATAACTAATACCGCTCTAAGCAACAAAACGCATAACCCATCCAAAGGAAGTTATGGAACGAAACCATCCTCCACCCATTTCTTCCACACCAGCTCGATGTAGAAGCGGTCGAGCTTCCACCCTTCTCCCCCAGCCCCTAAAACACTTGAAAAGGCAATTACACTGGAATCATCCATGGGAGGAGGTGTATTGAGCCGCTCCAGTTCGAACTAGCAAATGTCAGGACGGGGGGGTATCCATATATTTGTGGAGAGGCAAATACCAGTGCTTTCCACAGGGGATATATCTTTCTACTCCGTGCACCCGGTTCCAATTTTTCTATTTCTTCCAACCAGTGCGTCGGGGTGACTCTCTTGAACCTTGCTCCCGCCTTCTCTAGCCAGACCAGCACGTCGCTCCAGGAAGTGCTGAGATTCGTGTTCCCCAGGTTAAACACGGGTTCGTGAGGGATAGTATCCACTCTATCCCCTCTGACTGCGATATCTAGCACACCACGTGCGGCAAGGTCAACAGGCAACCAACTCAATTTCAGCTCGAAATCTGGTAGACACCCTATTTCACCCAGAGTTCCGATCACCATTGGCCACCCTGCATCCTGGCTCCAAGCTCCATTCGAGGTGCTCCCGGAGAGCTGGCCGATCCGGATTATGGATACGGTCTGGCCGGCAAGAGCGGCATTCTTGCAAATTTCCTCGGCCACCCACTTTGAGCGGAAATACCCCAGCCCGCCAGCAACACCTAGGGAATGAGAGCAAAGCTGGGGGATATACCACCTGCTTCCCTGTGAAGCCATAGAAGAACAGAATACAAAATGTGCTTTGCGCTTGCACTCCCTTGCAAGCCTCAAAAGCTGCTGTACGCTCGAGATATCAGGCCTTTCAAAGCTAGAGAGAGGAGCCAAGAGACCAACCGACCATGCAGCCTAATTCCCTTAGTGTATGATGACAGGTGGGAATAGTGAACCTACGTGGATTATTATTGTAACTTCCCTTAAGCAATCGTAGGTGGACGGTTCGATACCATCCAAATCTAGATTCGCAACCACCGAAGAAATTGATAACCCTCTACTATATGAGGATATGCGGTGCAGTTCACTAATAAGGGCTTCCATCTTGGCCTTGCTGCCCTTGCGGCAAAGGCAATATAGCTTGGTAACCTCTGGCCTCTCGGTAACTATCTGCCTAGCAACCTGCCTACCAAGGCTACCTGTTGCCCCAGTGAGCAACTGTTCCATTAGCATTATGTGTCTAAATACCCGTAAGAAAACCTACTACCACTTCGTTACGGGCTTCACTTTCAACCATTATCTTCGCAAAAACCCAAGAAGTATCGACGGCATCGTATTTTTGTACCAGCTGCACCATCAAGGTTACTTCCCTATCTTCCGGTCCCATGACTCCCTCTCCACCGGCAAAAATATATTCTGCGATTCTACCCGCCCTTAAGCATAGGTATCAATTTATCCACAGGTGAAATTATTTACCCTGCAATTGATGCCTGCTCATAGACAACATATTGTGACATCATAGGAACATTGATCTCGACACCCTAAAAGCCGACATCAAATTCCCTTCATCAGTCCCAGTTGATGAAATCTCACCTTAAGCAGCTGATTTCTAATATGAGCCGCCGTAATTGAATCAATCCCATATCTAAACAAATCCGCGGTTGACTCCAACGGTTTCCTTGCGAGAGCCTTTTCACCTATTGCCTCCACAACCACACTTCGGACAAACTCTTCCAATTTTTTAACATCATCCCTCCTTAGCCTTTGCCCTAATAGGCCTCCGAGTTCGTATTCTCTGTACGCCCTCCGGATATCTTCCTCAAAAATTTCGAGGGTGGTTTGGCGCATTATTTGCCATGCAGAGTTTCTCAGGGGGTACAAGTGTGGTAGCGGAAACACAATCATATCCGGCACGATCTTCGCTACTACGTTCTCTTCGCTAAGCAACTTGAAAACATCTTCCCGAGGCACATTCCTAGCTGGACCAGGAAAAACCAAAATCCCCGGAAAGGGTCTTCCATCACCAAATACGAATGAATCCAAAGCGAGCTCAGACTCCCCTAGCGCTCTTTCAATCACAGTGGGATCCAGTTTCTTTCCATTAGACAAAGTAATCAGGGAGTCTATGCGGCCAACATGTTTGTACGCATCAAGTATGCGGGGATGGGGAACGAAGAGGTCCCCCGTGGCGTATCCTCCCCGTGGTGTATTGGGTCGGCAGTTCTATACTGTCTAGTTAGTAACCACGTGTAGAAGAGGTCCAGGAAGGTGACCATCTGAGGCCAATCCGATAAAACCTCGAGTTCAAATCTCCCATCACTATCAAAGCTACTAGTTCTAGGTGAAATAAACTCATACCCGGCATCCCGTCTAACACGAAGATATTCCCATCCCATATCCGTTTGAAATGAACGGTATGATGACATAAGGACTTCCCAAACCATCAGTATTTCTCTAAGATGAGGAGGATATGAACTCATCATACACCCGCACCCGCTAGTTTCGAATCTTGAAACCAATTTAACGCCGTTTTCAACAAGAAAATCCCCAATCCCTTTTTCCAAAGGCGCCCCATCGACACCCACTATATCCATATCCTTTAATACATCAACAACAGCTGCATCCTCTGCGCAGACCTCTAAAACATAAGGCACCGAGGAGAAATAATGTGCTCTGGGATGTTGACATACGGATAGCGCCCTGAGCAGATTCCGAGGGATGATGGGGATAGTGGACGGGTATAGCCAGAGCATGCTATATCCCATCAGCGAACGCATAAAGTCCATTATTCCTCCATAATATAAAGGTGTGGTTGTGAATGTAGCTTTATTGTCGTAGGAACCTTGATACGCAAGACCAGAAATTGCTGATGAGTGCGGACACAAGACAAGTTCGGGCATCCCAGTGATTCCATTGGAATGGTGTATATATGCTATCGTTGACTCAGTAATAAAGCTGGGAGTATGATAGGCGAGTGGGGGAGAACAGGTGTCGATCTCAAGGAGTAGGCGTGGTATACAGTGACAAGTGGAGGATTCAAAGGCAGCATCCTTGTTATCCCGGGAAGTCAGAATACATATCGATGCTGATTGGGCCAAAAGATGAGTTATTTGCCCGGTGGTGCATTGCGGACTGGAAATTGTGGGGTTCTCGTTAGTGCCTTCGAGCCTTCGAGCCTAGGTGGGGGAGGGGGGGTTGAGATTCAGGTACTCGATAAGAAGAACGGCATATCCAATTTTAACAAGAGCAAGGAAATTGATCAGCATCTCTAACGAACTATCCGAAAGCAAAGCTACCACCGGCGGCACACCACTAGCAGATAGTCGGATATGGTCATGAAGACCGCGTACAACACGGTTTTGGACCAGACGGTGGGCATGCGTATTAACCACAACTGCAAGTCTTCCGTATGCTTTAATAGGTTGTTAGACTATCTCAGCCTACACATAGTCATGTATCTCACCTACAAAAGACTTCAACCCCCCAATTGTCCTCACCAGGAACTGCCATTCCCACTGCGGGAAGCTCACAACGTGAGCGAGCTCGGTGATCTATAAGACAACCAATAGTGCCCTTTTCGTAGTCCGGCTGAGCAAACTCATTGGAGCGTGCTGAATAGTCAAGTGGCTTGACAAAGTATGGGATTGGAGGGGAATTCATATCTGGAGACACAAGACTAGAGGACTTGAGGAAAAATAGGAGCCAAGTGGAGAAGTGGGGTTTCCTTGGACGGACAAACTTATGATACCGCACTTGTCACCATAACTTCTTGGGAACTAGTCATGAAGACGTATGGGACGTCGCATTCGTGGGGGACGGTCCGCGTGGGGGGGGGGCAACTTAGCTCACAATCGTCATAAATAAGGTCCAAGGCTGGCCACCGCATACTGGCTTCTCTTCTTTGTAAGATCGCACCGGGTTGGATTCAGGTATAGCGTAGGCCAAGGTAGCGAGGTAGCTGATATCTGCGTGTGGTTTACGGTAGCCCCGTGAATCCTCCTGACCAAGTAGTAAAAGCTATGGTATTCGGCGAAGGACCACACAGTTAAGGTCACCGTCCGTATTACAATGTATTCTAAGGACCCTAACACACTCAAACACAGCGGACAAAGGTAAGACGACCCCAGAAGTCAAAGTACTCGAGCACCTAGTGATGGTTCGTGCCCTGGCCTTGCTACTCACTAACTTGTATCATAGCAAACTGCCGTACCGGCATTGGTAGATCAAGGTCACAGTCAGGGTCCAGCCCCGGGTGTGAATTATCCGCACGCGCAGATATCATACGATACCCAGAAAAGTCTGCCAGCACGAGAAGGGCGGACAATATTGTGTGACCCTCTCATGACACAACAACCTTTACTTAGGGTGCTACCGGCATTAAACATATGGTGCCCGTATGTTGCCCATCAACCCCTCTCCATCTCTCTCATTAGCTCAATTCAACCCAACCCCTATCTTTACTGAAATTTCATTTCATCAAAAAAATACAGCTTATCATACTATGCCAAAATTCACTATCCAAGATGTTCTCCCCCTCCCGCATACTCCTGTAAAAATCCCTCGAATTGGTTTCGGTGTTTACCGGGATCCCCCGAACCAAGCCGAATGCGTTAAAAGCTGTCTCGCCGCCCTCAAAATGGGTTACCGACACATTGACACAGCACAACTCTACGAGAACGAAGAAGCGGTCGGTGAAGCTGTTCGTCAAAGTGGGTTGAAGCGTAGCGATGTTTTCGTTGCTACCAAGATTTGGAAGCCGGAAGGGAACGTTGAGAAAACCCTGGATAGTCTAAGGGCGAGTGTTAAGCGGATTGGACTGGGATGGGTTGACCTGTTCTTAATCCATACGCCTACAAGTGGCCCAGGCGGCAGGAGGGAGATGTGGGAGGCTTTGGAGAAATTGAAGAGTGAAGGGGGGGCAAAGAGTATTGGGGTGAGCAATTAGTATGTCTCCCTCCCATAACTTACTAGATAGGGCACTAACAAAAGAAATAGCGGAGTAAACCATCTGGAAGAGATCAAAGGGTACTCGAGGACTACTCCCGCCGTTAATCAAATCGAACTTCACCCTTGGCTCCAGCAACGCGAGATTGTGAACCACTGTTCCAAAGAGGGCATTGTCGTCGAGGCTTACTCGCCTATTGTCCGTGCACAGAAGAACGATGATCCAGACGTTGTATCCATCGCAGAGGCGCATTCCGTCACGCCGGCACAAGTGCTGATTCGCTGGTCCCTTCAAAAAGGCTTTGTCCCACTACCGAAGAGTGACAATCCTGAAAGAATCAAGTCCAACGCAGACGTGTACGATTTCGAGCTTTCGGATGAGGAAATGGAGAGGTTGAATGGAAAAGCTTTACCCGGTGGGGAAGGGGCGATCTGTCCGTACAATGTCAATTGTCTGTGAACTATGTGTGTCTTAAACAGCTATTTAACGTATGATCTTATGAGACGAGCACACGTAGTTATCATAGCAGCCCAAAAAAGAGGGATTTGATGTTGAAATGCGTTCTTTGAATCATGTCTTAGATCGGACGCTACCGCCACCAGTGGAGTGAATGGCATCAGGAAGTGTCGGTACCATAAGCAGCGGTCCGAAATATGGGTCAGAAAGCCGATCATACTCGCTGCTCGGGTATGGAGGTGGGTGACTGGACAGCCAGGGATTAGAGGTACATGTACTCGTACCTGTATCATATCAAAGCTTCTTTCCCGTTTGGGCAATTTCCCCGCCAAATCCACTCTTTGATTTCCTATGAATACGGTAGTAGGGTAAAGCAACCCCCCAGAATCCCTTGCTATCCCCTACGTCCATACCCGAGTACTATGGGTCACGCAAGCGGACTCGCGGCCCCTAATGAACATGCCTGCCAGTCCAATACATTATCCTGTATCTGAGTTCAGTAGATGACCCAACCGAGGAGACGACCCATCAACAATTAGAGAAGCACTCGAGCGAGCGCAAAGACAAGGACCTGTCCGGTTGTCACAAAGATTCCTCCTATCTATGATTGACATTGGGGCCGTTTATTGAACCTTGACATCACGAGAAAATCCCTTTAAGCAATCTACAGTACAAAGAATTACCAATTGAAAACCTACCTCCCCTTTGCCTGGCTTGAGATATTAGTAGCCATTCACTTTAGGTCCGTTTTTTCTCCACTCCCGTGCTTGACAAAATATTCTCCAGCTATAAGCAGAGGGTGAGAACCAATAGTGTAATTGTCACCGCTGTAAATGAGAATTTCACTTCATACCGTATCATACTCCCATTAACTGAAACGGCGTCCTCATGCGAATAGTCTCGCCGGATCATTACCGACTAGGATTGAACTCTTCACATACACAATCCCGCCGGCACTCGTAGGCGCACTGGTTCCATTCGTTTACCAAATGTCTTCCCCTCCCCCGTCTGATATTGCTGCCATCCCTCCGGGGAGCTTGCTAGGCATGGGGGCTCAGACGGTATGTGCTTTGGGTGGGCGAAACACGGGAGGGCTTACAACTTGGAGATATTGGAGAGAGGTAGGATATCATGTACTCCAGCTTTTATAGAGACTTACTGTAGCCGGGTGTTTGCTAAGTTCGAGAGGAAGTCAGGCTGTGCTTGCATCTTTGGATTTAGTAATTTTGAAATGTGGCTGCTGTACTATCCCAAGCCCTGCGATTAATTGATATCAATTGATATAGACACCAGTCCTGATGTGTCATATAAATACTGAGAGTTTTGAATATGATAGGAAAAACCCAGGGACCCAAGCCCAGAGAAGCTTGAGTGATGTGCTATGAACAAACAGCCATCTTCAGCACTTTGCATCTCTCCCGCATCCTGCCCGTGTAAGAGATACTATAATACCAAGCCATGATACGGTGTGTGAGTGTTGTAAGCCCCGTCAAGATCTCGCAGGTGAGACGCATCGTGGGCACCTCCATTACCACACCGTAACCCTATCATTGAATTTGGCTTCCGCACAGCAGCCGGTAAAAACCATCCTCACATGCCTAGTGTCCCTCCCCCCCTTCCCCTATTTCCTGGTTTCAGGAGTGTTCGGGCTGGCTGATGGGGCGTTTGGAGATCCGACTTTGGAATCATTATTTGAAAAATGTGATCTCATTTCGGATTCTGTCTTTACGGTATTTTCTCAATTTATGAGTCATCGTGGACAACGATATCAGGATGGTAATATTATTAAGGGAGAAATTAAGGCCCCGTTCCGGGTGCACCGTTTTAGAAATGGTGTGATATGCCGCGGTATTTCTTGAAATGGCTTGTTAGTTATAAATGCAATAGTATTTCTAGAAAAATGTGTTGGGCAGTGCAAGCACTCTAGCATGGTATTTTTATTTTTTGGTCAAAGGTAATTTTATCATCAGTGGTGTATTGCTCAAGAAAGACGAAATGAAGATGGGTAAATTATGGTTTCTTTCTCAGAGATAGGTGATAGCTCGGAGTACTCGTAAGGGGGAACGGGGAAAGAGTGTATCATCGAGAATCAAGGCATCACTCTGAAATTAGGGACGGGAGGATGATGATAAGATATTTATTTATTCTCATTCTACCACAGACCGCCATGGCACTGCAAAAAATATTGGATTAAAAAATGCCATGATAATAATATCATACAGTCTTTGTGGCACGCCGAACAGGACCCAAAGCCAACACGACTCTTTCTCGTTTGGTTCCCCCAAAGATATTTGCACTAAATTTCGTATTATATGTCAAAAACAATTAACTGCTCAATTCGAACTCTAATAAGTTGGAGTAGAATAGAAAGAAAACAAAGCGGTCTCATAAATCCCTCTCTAAATCAAAGCCAAACCGGAGGGTTTTTGGCAACACGTATCTTACAAACCATGGTTCGGCATACCTTATACAAAACCTTGCGTGCCAAACAGGACCTTAGACTAACCATTAAACACCTCCCAAGTGGTTGCGGCTCATAATCCATCACTCGGACAATCATTCAGGCAAAGCGGGCCCAAATTCCAAATACTACCATAGAAATTAGACAAAAGGAAAGGAGAATCAATCACATCTCAAAAACTCTTGTAGTGCTAACATCAACTCTACTCCACCTAGTCCCGGAAATCAGGCACTGCCAAAAAAACGTGGGCCAGTAGACATGATAGAGCCACCAAAACGGCACGGGGTCCCACGTCCTGAACGTGGCGTCCTTCCACGAAAACAGGTGCGTGAAGAATTCCCGCAAGCCCTCCGCCACCCGCTCCCCCTCCAACAAGGGGAGGAGGAAGAGCGTGACGAGATCGTGTCCGAACCAGTAGTACTTCTCCGCCTCGGTATTGTTAGGGACAAAGCACTTCGCGCCCGAGACCCCGCTCTGTTCCCCCAACACCGGCTCAAGGAGGGATAAGTAAGCGCCGCATAGTTCCTCCGGAGCGTCCTCGAATAACACAACAGCATTGTGTGCCCTTGGATTACACTCGATCGGGAATAACTTTAGTTCACCGTCTTCACCCCCACTCACAAGAACGCCGAAGGAGATTTGTCCGGTCAAGCACCCATTCTCCAAACTCTTCACGTACCGCCGCGCGAGCTCCTGCAGCTTCAACGAGTGCTCGCTGTAGATCTCTAGTCCCTGGTAGTGCATCCGTGGCTCCGACGACGGACACCCCACGAACGCGCGCAACTGCCCGTTCGATACAACGGTATGCGTGCAGAATTCGGGTCCGGTGATGTGCTCCTGGAAAAGCCAGGGGTGATTAGTGCTTATTGGGAGCTTGGAGATGTAGGCTTTCGATTCCTCCGCTATAGGGTGCGGGAATAACATCATGTCCGAATGGGGTTGGGGAGCATTGCTCAGGGCTATGCTATCGAGTGTATACTTCCTCCCACTGAGTTCCTTCGCTTGTATAAACTGCAGTGCTTCGGCGCGACTGGTAACACAGACGGTTTCTGGGGTGTTGAGGCCGATTTTGCCGGTGTGTTGGATGAAGAGGTTCTTGTGGTGGAGTGTTCGGCAGGTCTCTGGCAATGGCTGGAAAACTGCACATTCGGTCTCCTTACGGATCCTCTCTCCGGCGACTGCGTCTTCGACGGTACTTACCACGTCTGATACACAGATCCACAGATCCACACTTTCTCTCCTGATGATATTCAGCAGCGCATCTTCGTACCCCTGCTGTCCCCCGTCCTCCTCAGAGACTGGAGAGTCAATGACGTAGTAAGCGTCCAGGGCTTGCGAAAACCTCCCGCTTGAAATTTCTCCCCCGCGAGCGATGTCGATGCCGATGACCCTGTGGCCCGCAAGGTAAAAGCTCCGCGCTAATGATAACCCCTTCGCCGTCGCTAGGGAACTAATCATTACCGTTTTGCGCTTTTCCGGCGGGAGAAGGAGGGCATCGGGACTTGGCCAGAGACATTCTTTTAGGAGACTAAAGAGAAGGATCACTGTCGATATCGGCAGGAAAAAACCGCTAAGGAAGATTAGGGAGAGGTTCTTGAATATGTGGGCTTGGAGGGAGTGAGAAGTGAGGAGTGCCAGAGGCATTTTGTGGGCGTTGGATGGGCCAGACTGGCCGACAGGGAAGGGGGGGGTGTGGGATGAATGGAACGGAGATAGGCACAGTTTGAACGAGCTGGCGTCTCCGTAGGGCAGGGTGCTTGTGTGAATTGGTCAAATTATAGGCTATCCTCCTTCAACCGTGGTGTACTCGAGTAATCTAAGGTAAACTAGAGAAATTCCTAAATAAAAAGGAAGTGATAGGTTACCATAGTTGCTGTCAGGAGGGTTTACTGTACCGATGGCGAGTGAATTGCATCATATTCCAGACCGAGGATTTTAGCTCCTGCTTTTCCATAGCCCAACCGAATCATTACAAGGTAAAGATATTTTGTGCTGGTGTCGGTGCTGGGCCGGTTTTCTTCCGCACATTTGGTAGAATGATATCTACGGTAATTTAGGCCAGTAGTCTATTTTAACGGGATAACTCTCAACTACATACCAGCATCAGTAGTAATAAAGGTTCAAGAAGAAAATAGAATTTCCCTCCCTCTATACTTCTATCCCGTAGTAGCGTAAAAAGTGCGAGGAATAATGATGCTATGAAAGAAGGTCATAGATGTCAAAATATCTTCAATTTGGCGGCCCATTCTCCCCCATCTCCATCTTCATTGTCCATTCCCAGTTCCGTTCTTCTCGAGAGCCCCCGTTCCGAAGAGTCCACGTAGGTGTCCAGCCCAGCTCCACCCGTAGACATGTTGGATTGTCTATAGGGCATGCGGTTATGAGGCATGTAGGGATGAGGTGATTAGACACATAGCTGTAGATTGTTGTCTTTACATCCCATGAATGTGGGCATAGGATACGGGTGTTGGTTTCGTTTCATTGACAACTTATCCACTTCCATCGGGCATCAGGTATCGAGTATTTGGTTTAGTGTGGTACTTCTTTCAAACCCCATGCCACCTTGGTGTATAGTAAGACAGGTAGTTGGTTTGGTTTCTTTCGCCTTCTGTGCGGTTTGGCATAGGGCAAAGATTTCAGGTATGACAGTTCCGGGTTGTTTAGGATCACGGAGGACCACAATGTTTCAGGATAGTTTGTTTCTTAAGAGCCCGTTTCGTTCCGTTTCTGGAGTCGTTAGCTACCGGTATACGGAGATATCTATCCCCCAGTCTGTCCTTATCGACCATCTAACCAATTATCCCCCCACATTCAGCTATGTTTAACCCGCAATGATCCCACGCTCACCGCTTCATTCTTTAGCGTTATCTTTAGGTTCCTTGAGGGCAAGCCCCTACAAGCCTCCTTATGCACCTGCAACGTATCATACCCCCCATCTCCCTCGCCATATTGTTCGGGAATACACACCCCCCAAAGGCGCTAGTTTTGCAGCACGAAACCTCCCACCTCGAGCCTTCAGGGTAGCCTGCATCCACACAGCCAGCAATTCCTCATCAAAGAGTGAATGGCCAACAGTTAGCCCAGCTCTAGAAAAAAAGGGGTGAGAACACGTGCGTGATCTCCCGCACTGATAAACCCCTTCGACAAAGCCAACGTAGTAGAATACGCCGCATCTACCGAAATCGCGTGTCTTCATCTCAGCAGGGTCTCCAGCACAAGTCCCGTGGTAGGACTCTAGGCATGTCCGTACGCAATCACCCGACAGAGTCCGATCTCACGTAAATTAGGAGTCTCGAGTTTAAGCATGATGTGAATGCTTCTGTGATCGACAGTGTCTGCAGCACTCCCGGGCTTCTCGTCGTTACCATCCACCCGGCCAAATTTTAGATGGATGAGGTCCTTGCAGGGGACGTCCAGGAGGTCGAAACTGCGGAAATTGGCACGCTTAGCGAGCCCGGCGGACTTGGGCCTCCGGGAGGGTTCCTAGGAAGGCGAAATCTAGGGAAGTGTGCGGGGAGCATGGCACGCGCCCAGGTGGTCCTTGTGCTTTCTGTGGTTGGCGGCGACTTTTATGCTTCGATCAGGCCGACTACAGTTGTGAACATGCGGATGATGCTTGAGGTTCATCAATTAGCATACATTAAAGAAAAGTGGGTTAGGGTTAGACCTCCCTTACCAGCGATTCTCCAAAGACGGATGTAGACCACTAACCTAGCAAAATCAGTAATCAGCCCCCACCAATGACTGACATCGGTTCCTCTCCAATAGCAAAGTCGCTCATACCCTCCCAAACCTCCAATAAGCTCTCCATAGTCTAGTCTTCACCTCCCCACCGATCTTCATCTCGGGAATCACGAGACGAAAAGTGTTTGCACAGATTCTCCAACTGCAACTTCTCGATCTTGAAAGAGCCATCGAGAAATATGAAGTAGATCATTTCATAGCCTTCGACGTGCCGCATGGAAGCCGGTGGCTACGGTGGCGGGTAGGCTAGACGTCTCTCTCCCACGAGGCACTGAACCGGCTGCCGGGTTATTGGCAGCTGTGGCAAAAGTTGCAGTAGCAGAGAGGAGAGGTGGAGGGGATGAGAAAGCTCTTAAATCCGTGAATATCTCCTACGACGTGTTGAAAGTGGAAGTGCGCCAGATAGAGAGATACAGGCTGAAGTTTGGGTCTTTGCTAAAATCTGGCCAGCTAATGTTGTGAATCTAAAGGCTCTTGGGTTTGCATATCTGATTTCCTTGCTGTCTCTACGAAAGAGGTATGATACAGGAGCACACGAATCGATATGCATGATGTGATAGAGGTCTTGGTCCTAACCGCCCTACGAGTATATACTCGAGCACCATTCTGGGCACCCTATCAAGTGGTCGACTCGTTTGTTCGCTCGCCTCCCAGCACTTTGTTTAGTGGAGAGCTAGCCGCCGCAATATCATTATCACCGGTGGATGTACTGTTTGACTGGTAGGCAGCCTCGGAAGATTCATTAGCAGACGTGTCATATCAATCCCCATCTCAATCCTCGTGGGCGCGGATCCCGCGGGTGGCTACGGAAGTCTGATGTCCGTGCAGCGTATTTATTCCATCATTTCCATCATCGCCCATCACTCTCCATAAGTCACATAAATTTGTCCGCTATGAAAATATACCTTAGCTATCATATACCCACCCACCCCAGCCTAATCCCATGACAACTACCGGTATAGCCACCAAGATATTTACCGGTAAACCTCCCGTCTAACCCCAAAAAGCTGAAACCCAGCCTCTCCCCCAATTGCCAATATCTCCTTTATTTATGGTCAACCCGCCCCGATCATTCAATCTCCTCACGAAAGTATCACAGGCAATAGTAAATGCAATCCTGCCTCCTCATAACGGCATCAAATAATCCACCCCATCTCCGCAATCCCCACCCACCACACCACCTACCTACACCCCGCACGCCACCAAAATGCGAAACCCCCCAAAACCTGTATTCGGCCTCTCATTCTTTAAGGGCTTTTCCTCCGGTACCCAGGATTGCCCATCACTTGATATCACTCGAGAGTCACTCCCCGCAGAAGCAGCAACTGAGAAAACAATAGCAGATAACGGCAAGAATGGTTTCACAAGCAAAATTAGATACGCGGGGCCGCACAGCGTTTACGTTCGCCTTTCCCACTCTCCTGGGACTTGGGTGCTGTGTAAAGGGGGCTAGTGATGTGGGGCTGACAAGAAGAGGATAGTTCGACGACGGGCGGGAACTTGAGCTCTTGAATCACATATTCACGCACCCAAACACCGCGTCGTTCAAGGGTAATCCCAAAGCGATAATAGCGGAGATAGAATCTTTCGCGATAAGGAAGCACCTTATGAATATTGGGGAGATGAAAGGTTCCTCCCACCTCATCTTATCATACTCCGCTGGGTTGAATGGCTAACAGGCTCAGGCCGCCTGGTGACGGACCTAATAGCAACCTACCGCCCAAGCACAATCGTAGAAGTGGGTGCGTATATCGGGTACAGTACCCTCCTCTTCGCCTCAACCCTCAAATCTCATCCGCTCATCCCCACCGAGGAGAAGAAATACATAACGCTCGAGCAGTCCCCGCTTTTCGCCTCGATAACCCTATCGCTGGTGAACCTCGCAGATCTTTCAGATCTTGTCCAGGTCATCGTTGGCCCTTCCTCCGAATCACTGAGGAAGCTAAAGAGCGAGATTCCTAGGGTGGATATGTTGTTTTTTGACCACTATAACCCGCCGTACACAAATGACCTGAAGATCGTGGAAGAGATGGGGATGATCGGGGTTGGGAGCTTACTTGTGGCAGATAACGTTGTGAAGCCCTGGAATCCGAGGTATTTGAAGTATGTGTGCATGGGGGTTGAGCAGAAGCTCGCTGTTGCGGAGAAGGCTAGGATTACAGAGGAAGACTGGGAGGTGGAGATAGGGGAATGGGAGAAGGGAGGGGATCCAAGGTTAGTTTACGAGAGTGTGATGTTTGAGAGCTTTGACCCTACGGGTATCCCGGTATGTTCTCTTCTGAGGGGAACTGAGAAGGAGAATTGCCAATGAGGTTGAATATGACAGGACGCCATCGAAGCAACGATGTGTATTGGAAGAGTTGAAGAGCAAGAAAATAAGCCTCATGAAAAGAGGCCCCGTTGAAGAACCGTTGGTTAATTCAAGGAGTTATGATATCATCCCATATTTTGGAGAAACACTAACCACGCTCTGGTCCACTTCTTCCTAGCCACGATTGTATCATAATATTATCATACTAGGAAAACTTAATTTCTCCTCGAGTAGTTATTACCAAAAATACACTTTTTCTTCGGTGACTCCATAGCCCCTCTCGACGCAAATTTTTCAACCTATGCACAGTAGGGTTCCATAACAAATACCCGCAAACCACCGGCTGCAGCGTTGGGAGAAGCGAAGGTACAGCAACATACCCAATTTTCGCCCAATCTAACATACCGGTACCCTTATCTAATTCCTGCACAACCTAAATAGCCAATATCCCAGCCTACCTCATGTCTCTATTAACACCCAACATAATATTATTATGATAATCCCGCCAACTAGAGTTAGAGGCAAACACGAGTGACAAAGAATGATCACCATTTCTTTGCCCTGCACGGGCAAAGGAGTTCAAGGATGA